ATCATAAGGGGATTCGAAGCGTCGCGGCGCCGGCGCGGCGGCGCCGGCGTCGGCGCCGGCGTCGTTGCGGTGTCTCCGCGTGACGTTCGCGTTGAAGTCCGCGACGGAGCCGGGCGCGCCGGTGAAGTGCGCGCAGTGCGGGGTCGCGAAGCCGCCGTCCGGGTTCGCGGCGCACCAGTACAAGCGCGCGGAGTTCTGGGCGTCGAAGGGGAAGAACCCGAACCCGAACCCCCCGGGAGGCGGGGACCGGGACCCGGACGCGGACGACGCGTGTCACTGGGACGAACGCGGCGACGGCGGCGGCGACCGGTCGTGGATACGCGGCACGAGGAGGTGGGAGAAAGATAACCGCGGCGGCGGCGGCGAGGACGGCGGCGGCGAGGACGGCGGCGGGGAGGCCGCCGTCGCCGCCGCCGCCGCGGCTCGAAAAAGAAACCGCCGCGGCGCGCGGTGCCTCGAGTGCGTCGCCGCGGACCCTCGCGTCGCGCAGCACAAGCGCGACGTGGAGAGAAACGAGGCGGACGCGTCGAGGGTGACGTGTGCGGCGTGTTCGGTGAAGTTCGGGGGACGGAACGCGCTGTTCCGGCACGTCGCGTCGGGCCCGTGTCGAGAGAAGCTCGAGGCGATGGGGTGGTAGACGTTCCATTACAAAAATAGTTCATCGGTCAGTTGAAAGGAGACGCGATCAAATGTTGAAACCGAGCGATGGGTGAAAAAACGTTTGTAAGTAGCAGAATAATCGGTACGAGTACAGTACCTGTATCATAGCGTGGACTTATTGGAATCCGCTCGTCATTCAATCGACGCCCGAGAGACAGACGCGTCCTGTGAGGGACGATGTCCGGCTCCGTGCCGTCCGCGGCGATCGCGTCGCCGAAGCACCCGGTCGCGAGCTTCTTCCACGTCGCGTTCAAAGCCTGCGCGCTGCTCGTGTACCTGACGTGCGAGTGGTTCGAGTCCGACTTCGTGCTCAACTTCGTGACGGTGATCCTTCTGCTCGCCGCGGACTTTTGGACGACGTCGAACGTCAGGCGCGTTCTGTCTCACACTGGTCCCCATACGACCCCGTCGGCGTGGTGAACGCCGATCCTTAAGGACTTTGCCCGGCGCATCTCTCCGCCCATCAAGGGTCCCTCGCGTTCAATCCCCGCCCTCGACGCCTTTCAACTCCGCTTCTGACGCCTTTCAACTCCACCCCGACGTTCGCTCGTATGGAACGGCGACCCTCAGCGGGCGGCTGCTCGTCGGGCTGCGGTACTGGAACGAGATCGACGAGAGCGGCGTCTCGCGTTGGCGGTTCGAATCGCGCGACGCGGAGGGCATGAAAGCGGTGCGCGCGTCCGAGAAGACGCTGTTCTGGTACTCGCTGTACGCGGTCCCCGCCGCGTGGCTCGCGCTCGCGATCGTCGCGCTCGCGCGTTTGCATCTCGGCTACCTGCTCGTCTGCGCCGTCGCGCTCGCGCTGGGGGGGGCGAACCTCGTTGGGTACACGAAGTGCGACAAGGACGCGCAGGCGAACGTGAGTAACTTCGCGCGGACCGCGGTGTGGAACAGCGTCATGCCGAGCTTCATGCAGAAGACGTGATGGGGCGCGGGGAACGGGGGGGGGGAGCGGGGCGATTTAGAAGATCTCGAACACGTAAAATAGCTGGCTGGAATATTTCGTCCTCGAGTAGTCGGTCGATCAGTCCTCCCTCTCGAGCGCGCCCTCTCGCAACGCCTCGCGCAAAAACTTCGCGACGGTCACGAACGACTCGAACTCCGTCCTCGGCAGCGTCAGCCCGTGCGAGTCCTCCGGGAACACGCGAACGTCGCACCGCCCTCCCGCCTCTCGCAACGCGGCGGCGTACCGCAAGCCGTTCGTCGGCGGCACCCTTAGGGTCGTTCCATCGTTCAAAGCGACGTCAAGGTGGAGTTGAAAGGCGTCAGGGGTGGAGTTGAAAGGCGTCGCGGGCGGGGATTGAAAGCGAGCGGAGAGCGGAGAGATGCGCCTGGCGAAGTCCTTAAGGATCGGCGTTCACCGCGCGAACGCGGTCGTATGGGGACCGGCGTGACATAGGTAGAACGCGCCTCAGGTCCACGGCGCCCAACAACATCAACACCGGCGCTCTGACGTCCTTCACGTACCTCACCGGCGACTTCTCGCGCATGACCGCGAGCTGCTCGACCGTGGGGAGGTCAGAAAACGCATCCTTCCCGAGCGTTTCCACGAAACACCAATCCGGGATGTCAGTGAGCGACACCATCGACGCGACGTCCGTGACCGGGTTACGCAGCACCGCCGCCTTGAACATCTCCGGGCGTTGCCCGACGAGGTGCGCGCCGAGGAACCCGCCGTGCGACCCGCCGACGACGACGATCTTGTTCGCGTCCGCGACGCCCGCGTCGATCGCGCGGCGCGCGATCGCGACGCAGTCGTCCACGTCCATCCGCCCCGCGCCGCCGCCCACGAGCGCCTGAGGGCCGTTCCATACGAGCGAACGTCGGGGTGGAGTTGAAAGGCGTCAGAAGCGGAGTTGAAAGGCGTCGAGGGCGGGGATTGAAAGCGAGGGGTGATGGGCGGAGAGATGCGCCGGGAAAAGTCCTTAAGGATCGGCGTCCACCACGCGAACGCGGTCGTATGGGAACCAGTGTGAGACAGAACGCGCCTGAAGAAAATCCTCCCCGTACCCGGTGCTCCCGCGATAGTTACAGTACACCACGGCGTATCCCAACGACGCCAGGTACGCCACGGTGGCGACGTACCCCGCGCCGCACGCCGCGTGCGGGCCTCCGTGCGGGAGTATGATCGTCGGGAGCGCGCGCGGCGCCGCCGCCTTCGGGCGGACCGTGATGGATTCCACGCGCGAAATTCCAATTCCGTCGTCGTCGATCGCGACGGCGTCGACGAGGTATTCGAGCGTTTCCAACGCGCGCGACGCGTCGCTCGCCGCCGTCGACGACGCGCCGTGTGCGCCCTTCACCGGACACCAGCGCGTCGGCGTCGTCGCGTCGGCGTCGGCGTCGCGGTCGGTCACCCACGCGAGGTGCACGCGCGGCGGCGTCCCCGGCGACGAGTGCGCCGCCGCGACGACTTGGGTCCCGCCGACCGCGCCGCCGGACGCGACGTCGCAGACGGTCCAACTCCCGCCGCCGTCTTAGGGTCGTTCCATCGTTCAAAGCGACGTCGGGGTGGAGTTCAAAGGCGTCAGGGGTGGAGTTGTGAGGCGTCGCGGTCGAGCGTTGAAACCGAGGAGTGCGCGGAGAGACGCGCCGGGAGAGAAAGTCCTTAAGGATCGGCGTTCACCGCGCGAACGCGGTCGTATGGGAACCGGTGTGAGACAGAAAAAACGCACCTCGCGCGCCCGGGGTCAACCGTCGCGCCTTCCCGAGGCGCATGTCGATCGACACGATCGCCTCCCCGGGTCCCCAGGTGCTCTGTAAGATCATCCGCGCGCCGTCGTCCGTGAACGGCGTCCGCGGCGGCGGCGACGACACGTACAGACCCGGGAACGCGTCGTCGAGCGCGTCGCTCGCGCCATCGGCGTCGCTCGCGGTCGAAGTGAGGGGCGTTCTATACAAGCGAACGTCGGGGTGGAGTTCAAAGGCGTCAGTTGGAGTTGAAAGGCGTCGAGGGCGGGGATTGAAAGCGAGGGGTGGGAGGAGAGACACGCCGGGAAAAGTCCTTAAGGATCGGCGTTCACCACGCGAACGCGGTCGTATGGGGACCAGTGTATAGAACGCACCTGACGACGGGCACGACGACGTCGGACGCTTCCGACTGCGGGCCCACACCCGGGGTCCACGCGATCTTGCGCAGCGCGCACGTCGCGTTGTGCGCGCCGGATTCGACCGCTGCGGCGTGGGATATGAACACGAGCGCGGTGCCGTCGGGGGTGAACCGCGGCCAGAGCGCGGAGACGTCGCCCTTCGCGAGCCGCGTCGGCGGAGCTGGGTTTTTTTTTTTCGTCGGCGTCGGCGTCGGCGTCGGCGTCGGCGTCTTCTCGCCGCCCGCGCCCGACCCCGCCGGTACACGCGGCGCCGGGACGTCCATCAAGAACATCTCCGACGGGCGGTTGAAACAAAACGTGAGCCCTAACCTCCGCGACGTGCTCTTGAAGTTCTCGATGTCGCCGCTCCACGTCGGCAAGACGAGCGCGTCCGATTCGTCGTCCTCGTCCGCGGGTGCCCAGATCGGGCCGCTCGCGGCGACGGAGCCCTCCGGGAGCCCGACGCGAGAAACCTCGGTCACCTCCCCGGTGGCGCACTCGAGGACGAAGCACGCCGGGGACGTCTTCCCGACGAGCTGCTCGCCCCACTCCTCGCGCCACTCGCCTCGCCCGCGCCATCCCTTCTTATTCGACGCGGCGGCGGCGTCTTCAGATTCTTTCTTCTTCGCCGCCGTCGTCGTCGTCGTCACGCCCATCCCCCACTCCGGGGTCGGTCCGTCCTCCCCGACCGGCGCCTCCGCGACGTACGCGATCCTTCCCTCCCGCGCGCTCCACGAAACCCCCCCGAACGTGCCGTCCGCGCACACCGCGCCGTGCGTCTTCGCCGGGACGAGCGTCTCGCGCGTCAGAGCGCCGTGGGACCACAGCTCGAGCGCGACGCATCCGTCGCGGTCGCTCCCGCCGTTTGTGAGATCTTTGCCTCCGCGGACGACGAGTCGCTTCGTCCCGGAAGGCGAGATGGACGACAGCAGCACGCCGCGCTCCTCGATCCCGAACGCGGGGTGCGTCAGCGGGCGCGACGGCGGCGCGTCGCGCGGGACGCCGGAGATGGACGCGACGGAGGTCCGCGCGCGATTCCCCGCGAGGTCGCGCTGCGTCGTCGCGACGTGCGCGACGAGGGAGGATCGGGACGCGTCGGAGACGTCCGGGGCGAGGACCGCGCCGGCCATGGACGGGATCGCGGTGAACGACTCGAACAGTGACGTCTCGCGCTCGACCTCCGCGGCGTCCGCGTCCGCGTCCGCGTCCGCGTCGCTCGCGGTCGCGGCGGTCGCCTCCATCGTCGATCGGCGTCGGCGTCCTCTCGGAGGCGCTGCTAGAGGATGATGCCGCGGCGGAGGAATCTCGCGCCGCGCGCGCGCGCCCGCGCGTCGGAACGGCGACGACGGAAGGAGCGGGGGGCTCGCGTGATGCCGCCGCGCGCGCGCGCGTGCGAGAGGAACCGACGGCGCGACGTGCGAGACGGCGGGCATGCCCTGCCAGCCTCGACCCGCGCGGTGCTCTCTGCTGCGAGAGCGGTCGCGCGCGCGTCGGAGACGAGAAGTGCCCGTCGAGACCGTGTCTCACTGTACTGTATCATTAGTCGAGGGCCCTACGTGAGTATTTAGTCAGAGGTGACCGCCGCTGTCATTCCGTGCCCTAAATACCGTTCTGTGATTGGCCAAGCCTAAATACCGTTCTGTGATTGGCCAAGCCTGACTGTTCGAAACGCAAAGCCACGACGCATCATCATCGTCTCGCTTCACTTTCAAGCGCACGCGCTCGTTAACACCTCACACTCAAAAAGCATCATGTCTGGACGTGGTAAGGGCAAGAGCGGCAAGAAGGCCGTCAGCCGCTCCGCCAAGGCGGGACTCCAGTTCCCCGTCGGCCGCATCGCGCGCTACCTCAAGATCGGCAAGTACGCCACCCGCGTCGGTGCCGGTGCCCCGGTGTACCTCGCCGCGGTCCTCGAGTACCTCGCCGCCGAGGTCCTCGAGCTCGCCGGCAACGCGTCCCGCGACAACAAGAAGTCCCGCATCGTGCCCCGCCACATCCAGCTCGCGATCCGCAACGACGAGGAGCTCTCCAAGCTCCTCGGCACGGTCACGATCGCGTCCGGCGGCGTCCTGCCGAACATCCACTCCGTCCTCCTCCCGAAGAAGGGCAAGGGCAAGTCCGGCTCCGCGTCCCAGGAGTTCTAAGCGACGCGAGCGAACGACTCGTCGCGACTGACTCGAAAAACATTAACGATCCGCGCGTTCGTCGCGCGGAGGTACACAATGGTGATAACTAATCACCACCACGGCGCGAGAATCGCTCAGATCTGGGGGGGGGGGAACGCGAACATTCAAAATCTTGTTCTTTTTTTTCTCTCTAATAACCTGTAGTAGCTATCTTATAGCTCGCCGCGGAAGTTCAATTGTCGCGCGTCTTGCGCGCGCGCTCTACGTCTCCGCGCCCGTCAGTCGTCCCCCCCGAGCAGCTTATCCAGCGGGAACGCGGTCCGCTGCATGTACTCCACCTTCCGCTTCTTCACCGGCCTCGCGACGCCGAGGAACTCGAGCTCCGCGACCGCGCGCGTGAATCGCGCCTGAAGCTCCCACAGCCGCGGCCGGCTCAGATGAAACGTCCCCTTCTTCTCGCCGTCCGCGACGTCGACGTCCACCTCGACCTCGTCCTCGCCGCCGCCGCCCGCGCGGTACGGCTCGTGCAGCTCACAGAACGACCGGAACAGCTCGTGTACGTTCGCCGCGTCGCCGCTGTCTTGCAGCAAAACGTACGCCGCACACGCGTCCGGCAGCGCCGCGGTGGGCGGCTCCGACCGCCCGGGGCAGCACGCGCACTTGAGCACGTCTCTCGGCGCGCTCATCGTCTGCTCCATGCACAACCGCGGCGCGCACTGCACGCCCTCGCGAAGGACCGTGATCGCGGCGCTGGAGTTGACGGAGAAGATGTCCGCGCACGGGAGCGACGCGGGCGGCTTGGACGCGTGCCTTCGAGCGACGCGGCGAAGGAAGAGCGACGCGCGCGCGCGCGGGGACGCGCGAGGGGCGTCCGCGTGGCCCACGCCGCCGTCGCCGCCGGTTCGATCCCCGCCGCCTTCACGCCGCGGGACATCGGGCGCGAGCGCGAGCGCGTCGCGCGCCGCGTTCTCCTTCTCCTCCTCGGCCCCGGTGGACGCGTCCGCGCCGCCGCGCGTCTTTCGACGCGCGGCGTGAGGTTCCGGGTTCTTTGCGCGTTCCGGCCCGGCGCTTCGCCGCGCGATCAACGCCGCCTGCACCGCGGCCGCGTTTTCCGGCGACGCGATTCCAACGCCGCCGCCGCCGCTCCGTCGGCGTTTCTCCCGACCCGCGGAGGGCGGCGACGTCGCGCGCGCGTCGACCGCCGCCGCGGCGTCCGCGTCCCTCGCGTTTTCCACCGCCGCCGCGGGGTCCTCCTCGCTCAGGCGAATCAACTCCGCGAGGATCGGTCCCTCGCGCGCGTGCATCTCCGGATCCCCCGCGCATATCGCCGCCCACGTCCGCATCAGCCCGACGAATCGCTCGCGCGGCGTGACGTCCTCGGACTCGAGACGCGAGCACGCCAGGCGAAGCAGCGACGCGCCGCCGCCGCCCTGAGGGTAATCGCCCGTACCGCCGTCGCCCGTCAACCACCGCGGCCGCGACGCGTCCGCGAGCAAGTTGGCGAACGAACGCGCCTCCCCTCTCAGCCCGGTGAATCGAGACGCGGCGGCGACGCACCGCAGCGCGGTCGCCCAGCGGCGTCGCGCCGGGTACGTTTCGATCAGCGCGTCGAGAATCTCGCGCTCGGCGGCGGCGTCGGAGGAGGCGTCGTCGAGGCTGAAAAACTTTCTCGCCCACTGGATCGACTTCGGGGTGAGGTGACGACGCGCGAGCTCGCGCGCGGAAGTCTCCGCGGCGGACGACGCCGCCGCGGCGGCGATCGCGGCGCGCGACGCGATCGCGGCGACGTCGACGTCGGCGCCGACGTCGACGTCGCCGGGAAGGAAGCCGTCGCCCGCGCCCGCGCCCGCGCCCGCGCCCGCCGCCGCCGTCTCCTCGTTCGCCGCGTCCGCCGCGTCCCCCGCGTCGATCACCACCGTCGCGAGCGCGCTCAGCGGCCGGTGCATGAAGTGATCCAGCGTCAGCAGATGCATCGCGCGCCGAGCCGCGGACAGAGAGTAGTCGTGCTCCTGGAACCGAGACATGAGCGTCCCCAACGCCGTCGCGCTGAGCGCCGGCGCCCTGAGGGTCGTTCCATCGTTCAAAGTGACGTCGGGGTGGAGTTGAAAGGCGGGTCAGACGGAGTCGAAAGGCGTCATAGGGTCGGGGATTGAAAGCGAGGGGTGAGCTCAGAGAAACGCCGGGAGAGAAAGTCCTCAAGGATCGACGTCCACCACGCCGACGCGGTCGTATGGGGACCAGAGCGAGATAGAACGCGCCTCGCCGGGTCCAGCAGCACCCTCTCCTGCACCGCCGCCATGATGCTCTTCGGGCTCCACAGGTGGAACGATCGCACGGCGAGCTTCGCGGCGACCGCCGCGGGGATCATCCCGTGCATCGTCGCCGCGGACGTCGCGACGCCGAGGAGGACGTGCACGGGAAGCGCGTCGCCGCCGTCGCTGAGCGCGAGGAGGAGGTCGGAGAGGACGCGTCCGTCGAACCCCTCCGTGTCTTCGATGACGACGACGATCGGTTTCGGAGGACCGCGGATCACGCGCGCGGCCGCGAGCGCGGGGTCGGACGGGATCGCGGCGTCCGCGGGGCGCGCGCGCAGCGCGTACGAGCGCTCCGCCGTCGCGTCTCCGTCGCCGTCGCCGTTTACGTTTACGTTTTCGTTTCCGCCGCGGTCGCCGCCGCGGTCGCCGTCGCGGTCGCCGCCGAGCCCGCCGCCGCCGCGCGGCGCGTCGTTAAACTCCTCGATCGTGACTTCCTGGTACCACCGCTTCAGGTGCCGCACGCTCCGCCCCGATATCCGCAAGTTCCCCGCGGTCCCGCCTCCGCGCGTCGCCGCCTGCAGTTGCGTCAGGATGCATCGCGTCGCGACGCCCAGCCCTCCGCCGCCGCCGCCGCCGCCGCCGCCGCCGCCCGCGATCGTCGTCGCGCCGACCGCGCCGCCGCCGACGCTCCCGCCGCCGCCGCCGCTCCCGCCGCCGGACGCGGCTCGCGCCTTCAGATCGCGCGATCGAAGCAGCGCGGCGTGGCATCCCGCCGCGCGCAGATGCCGCGTGAGCTTCGTGAACGTCTCCTCGTGATCGTCGCTGTTCACCCCCCCCGCGAGGACGAGCCCGACGGGAACGCGCTGCGCGACGCTCTGCGGGAGCGCGCCGCCGTTCGCGTCGCGGAGCGCGACGCGCTCGGCGAAGTCGCCGCGCACGAACGCCTCGAGTTTTTCAAACGCGCCGCGATTAGCGTCCGCGAGAACGCGCGATACGTGCGCGTCCGTGCTCGCCCACGACCTCTCGTACGCGTCCCATCTCGCCTCGAGCCCCTCCACGGTCTCGTCCGGGACGAGCGGCTTGAACGACTTGCGCGCGGTGAAGCGCTTCGGCTGCGCTGGCGCTCGGCGCAGGATGAAGACGCCCTGGTTGAGCGAGTCGGTGCGCTTCTCGCGCGCGGAGTGCGCGTCGAGGAGCGCGCCGCCGGTCGCGAGGACGCCGCCGCCGCCGCCGCCGCCGGGGCCGCGAGACGCGGACGCGCTCGCGTTCGCGTTCGCCGCCGCCGCTCGCGAGCGCGAGGTCATCTGCGCCCTGTGGGGCGAGGCGCGGCGGTGTGTGACCCGCCGTGGTGTGCAGAAAAAAAAACTTGGCACTCGGGCACCTGCTTGCGCTGCCCGACGCAAAACAATGCATGCCGCATAATCGGTTCGGATAAGTTGAGGTTATCATAAAAGAGGGTTTAAGTTGCAAAAGCAAAATCGGGTCTAAAATCGGGTCTAAAATCGGGTGGCCAAAATCGGGTCACCCACCCGATTTTAGACCCGATTTGCAACGACC